CTACACCACGCTCTACAGATCTGCCAAGCAGCATCTTTTGCTGCTTGGCCTGCTGTGTTCATCCAGCTCCGCACCTTGTTATCTTTAGCAATGGCAGGTCTTTTAAACTATATATCACAAATGTAATCTTACACATGCTGTGGATCCTCTCACGTTGTTGCTAAGTTTAGATATGTATGAATATCTCTCCATTTTTGTTACTAGGCCAATATTAAACTTACAGCAAAATTCACATCGGATCCATATTTAAAACATACCGGTGCTAACTTGATCTCTTTCTGTACATGTATTAAGACCACAAGGAACAGCAACAGGCTGTTCGGCCCTTCAAGGGGATCAGGGCTGATCCAACATTCCTCAAATCCACTTTCCTGCATTTTCTCCTCAATCCTGCTACTGATCAAGAATCTATCTAACTCAGCCTTAAATATACACAAGGACTCTGCCACAGAAAGCTGCAGAGGCAATGAGTTTCAAATACTCAACCCTTAGCAGAAATTCCTTATCTCATGCTGAAATTAGCAATCCTTTATTTTGAGATTACGCCCTCTGGTCCTAGACTCTCCCATAAGGAGAAACATACTCTCAGCATTTACCCTGTCAAGCCTCTTAAGAATCCTATAATTTCAATCTGATCACCATTCATTCTTCCACACTCCAGTGAGTAAAGTCTCAATCTGTTTAGCCTTTGCTCAAAACACAGTCCCTGCCATACCAGGGATCATCCTAGTGAACCTTCTTTGAGCTGCCTCTAATGAAATGGCCTTTCCTTAAAAAAAAAGGAACCAAAACTGCTCTCAGTACTCCAGAAGTGGTCTCACATTACTAAGCCTAAGGTTAGAACCAGAACCTCAGAACTTGGAATTACCACGGTGCAGGAGGCCATTCAGCCCATCATGTCTGCACCAATCCCATTATCTAGCCAGCTGTTATCCAGTACAAATTTCCTGCCTTTTCTCCATATCCCTGCTCATCATTACTATCCAAGTAATCATCCCATGTTCTCTTGAATGCCACAATTAAACCTGCCTCCACCACATTTCCAAAGAGTGCATTCAACACCATAGCCCCAGAAGACAAGAAGCCTCAGAGACACAACTGGTGGTGGTTTAACCCGAGGGTCACCCTGCCTCAGGCAAGGGGAGAGGGTGAAAAGCAGAATCCTTTGTGACAACCTCAGCAGGTGTAGGAATTGAAGCTACGCTGTTGGTGTCACTGTACATTGCAAAACAGCTGTCCAGCCAACTGAGCTAACTGACCCCCATTATACTCTAACAACTGTGTGAAAACATTTTCTCTCAGCACCCTTGCTTTGTCTGAACATCACTTGAAATCTATGCCTTCTCATTACTGTTTCTTTTTACAAATGCAAACAGCTTCAGCCTACCTACTTTGTCAAACGCGCACATGATTTTGAAAAATTCAAAGAGATCCCTTCTCAGCCTTCTCTCCAAGGAGAACAGTCCTAATGCCTTCAATCTATCCTCAAAGGAAGTCTCTCACACATGGAACCTTTCATCTAAATTGCAGAACTGTGTTCTGAGGAAGGGTCACTGGACCCGAAACGTTAACTCTGTTTTTTTCCTTCACAGATGCTGTCAGACCTGCTGAGCTTTTCCAGCAACTTTGTTTTTGTTCCTGATTTACAGCATCCGCAGTTCTTTCGGTTTTTATTTAGTTCTTTTGTAGAAACATTTGGGTGATTTTTGTACAGCACAAATCAAACAAAAAATGGGGAAGGGAAAATTTAAGAATTGTGCAATGGCACAGACAACTTTTGAGATAACCAACAGCTACTGTCAAAAAATAAGAAACATCAGAGCAGTCACGTTACTGCAGTTTGGTAATAAACGTTTTGTGCTTCTGTGCAAAAGTTTACTAAAGACTACTCCACCTTGTCTGATGAACTTCAGGTATTTAGAGGATCAGCAAATACATATACAGTACCATGACAGTAGAACGATTTAACAATTCTAATCTTTGAAGAGAAGAGAAACAAAGCAATGTTATGATGCCACAATTTTAACATATCAAGGAACAGGAATTCATAAGATTTCAACATAATCAGGCCACATTTTAAGATAAAAACCGAAAGAACTGCGGATGCTGTAAATCAGGAACAAAAGCAGAAGTTGCTGGCAAAGCTCAGCAAGTCTGGCAGGATCTGTGAAGAATAAAATCAGTTAACGTTTCAGGATTCTGAGGGTGGGTCACCGGACTCGAAACGTTAACTCCAATTTTTTTTTCTTCACAGATGCTGCCAGACCTGCTGATCTTTTCCAGCAACTTCTGCTTTTGTTCACATTTTAAGATTTTCAGTTTTGCTGGCTCATTGTGTCTGTCATCGCGCCAACTCCCTAACTTCTTCCTTTGTAGCTGTTTCAGAGAGTGATCACAGGCATGATAGGCCAACAAGCCTTTACCCATGTTGTAGGAACTGTATGGGTGTCAAATTGAACGGAGAAGGAAATGGAGGGAGGGGAAAATCCAAAAAATCCCACCCTGACCAAAAACTCCATCAGCACAAATAGAAGCTCAGCCCATGACGACAGAAATATAGGAAAGAATGCACAAGCACAATGACTAATATCTGATTCGAAGTAGACGCTGCCAAATCGATGAATAGACACAGAAGTGAATTGAACAACAGCACAGGCAGTATGAATAGCTTACATGGGCAGAAACAAAAGCAAATTCAGAGCTTGTACTTCCTAATTTATTTGAAGTACTCAACGAGACGGTGACTATTTTTATATTTTCTCTTGTTGAAGAGTACTCTTCACCTGCTTAAAGCAAATCAAATCATTTAAGAGAACGAGACAGCAAAGCAGAAGATATAAAGATAGCACCAATGTCCTTTTCAGAGAGTTATCCAATTAGTTCTTTTCTCATTTGCCTGTGACAATTTTCCTTCAAGTACTTGCCCAGTCAGTCAGTGTCCATCACCATTTCAAGAAGAGCATTCCATATAACTTGCTGCCCAAAGAGATTACTTCAGTGATACTGCCCTGCAGCATCCTTCATCTAAGGACACAATTCCATTCTCCCTGTCTCTCAGGCTCTGTCACATCTATCTGATGATGCAATCTTCCATACAACAGCTGTTTGTGAGAACTCCATCCCCATCCCCACCCCCACCCCCACAAGGCTGACAAGGCTCTCCACTATGTGCTCCATTTCACAATCATTTTCTCTCTCTATTTCCTCTAACCATGACAGGGTTTCTCTTGTACGCACCTTGCAACTCACCAGACTCCATATTCAACAAGTTCATCTTCCTCCATTTTCACATGCTGCCATCATCACACACACCGTCCCCTCCCTTGTCACCTTGTCAATGGGACCATTTGCCTGGTCCACTTCTTAGTTAACTCTGGATCTCCCTCTTCTCCCATGGCGCCTTTCAAGTACAAGATACAAGATATGCCCTCTTACCTCCTCTGTACACAAGTCTCAAACATTCCTTCCAGTTATAATTTATTTATACTTCTTCCAGTTGAATATACTGTGCTCATGATGTGACCTACTTTATGTTGAGGAGATCAAAAGGTAAACTGGGTGACTGCTTTGGAGAACACTTCGACAGTCCTTAAACATGGCCCTGTGATTCCAATCAGCTGTCAGTTTAATTCTTCATCTCCGTTCCACTCTGATTTTTCCTGATGTTCTAATGAAGCTCAATGCAAACTCAAGAAACAGCACCTTGGCTTTCCACTGACACTTTACAGTTATTGAGTCCAGAAGACGAATTCATGAACGTTAGATCATAGCATCTGCCGCACTTTGTTTCCTTTTTCTTTGCTTTCAGATGGCAGGCATTGTTGTTCAACATCTTCTACACATATCTTTGGCTTTTGTACTATCCCTAGTCTTGCACCAGGAATTCATGGTTTAATGTTTCCAGCCATCCACCACATCACATATCTACATTTTGTTCTTTTTCCTCATCCTACCCTAACTCATTAACTCAAAATCTACTAAATTTCTAATGTTGCCAGCTCTGATGCAAAGTCACAAACCTGAAACATTACCTGTTTCTCTCTTTGACCTGCTGAGTATTTCTGGCATTTTCTGCTTTACATGTTTCCTGCATCCACAGTACTTTGCTTTTGTATGCCTGAGATGACTTTCAATTTAAACCAATCAGGTGTCATATTAAGCATCTTTCTGGCTAAATATACTGGTGGGAGGAATGGTGACAGTGGTGGGTGTTCAAAGAGAAAATAGAAGAATCATGGCATTTACTCTTGGAAGTCATAGGAAGCATCACATTATATACGCAGAAGTATTGGAATATAAATAACTCCTAAAATAACACAAACTGTCATAGCAGTAAATCAGATCCTGTTTGCTAATCCACAAATATTCAGGGCATTTGAAGCAGCAAACCAACTAAACAAGAACAGCTGAATGGAGTCAATAAACATGGAGGTGGACAAACACAGGTCAGACAGCAGGAAAGTCAACATTTTGGACCAAAACCCTTTGTCAGGACTGGGGAGGGGGAGGGGGAGCCCAAAAATAAATGGGGGTGGTGGGGTTGGGGAACGGTAGGTGGGATGGTGATAGGTGGATTCAGGTAAGGGATTATGGTGATTGGTCAGTGGGAAAGGTGGAGTGGAAAGGTGAGTAGGAAGATGGACAGGTTAGGACAGGTAAGGGAAGCGGAGATGGGATAAAGCTGGGGATGAAGGGATTTTGAAGCTGGTGAAGTCAATATTCAGGCCCTTGGGCTGTAAGATCCCAAGGCAAAATATCAGGTGTTGTTCCTCTAGTTTACATTTGGCCTCACTGTAACAAT